TTTCCCTGCTCCTACTGGCCACACTGGTGCTCTTGCAAACTACCCAAACCCCCTGTCCTTGTACCTTATCAACATCCTCCTCATAACAAATCCCACACTGAAACCAAGACACAGCACTTTCTAGCTGCTAAGAAGGAAATTATCTCCATCTGAGCAGAACCAGGACACACCTGCACAGAGATGCAGGGGCAGGCACATTGGGCTTTTTCCATGTCCTAAATCCAGGCTGATGAATCCATGTTCTCTTTGTGGGCTCTGGGCGATCCCAGAAACTCTGCAAATGTTGCAGACACCAGCTCTGGGTCTGGGAAATTGTCCCCACAATATGAACAATGTCTGAGGAGGAACAGCAGCATCTAAACATGCTGTAAATGCTGCATGTGGTGCCTGGGACTGTCTCCAATCCTCACAAGCTCCAGGAATCAAATACCAAGAAGAACTGGAGCTAGCCTGGTTGCTGACCCTCCTCAATGGGGAAGGAAGTGTTAGAGTGGTTGGGAAATCCCATCCTTCTGGTTTTCATCCCAGATTTGTTAATCTCCTGACCCATTAGAGGAGAGATGCTATCTTGGCACACAATACAGGCATCAGAAATAAATCTGGGCTGCCAGTCAGCAGGGATCTCCCAGCTGCTGGATAACGAGGGTGCTCCGGGTAGTGCAGCAGCCTGAACAGCAAGTGCTGCCCAGAGCTGGGTCCCCTCTCGGGTCCCCCAGGAATTTCAGTTTGTATTTGGGTGCAGCAAACCCGATAAAGGACAGAACAGGATCTCTGCTTGTTGCAGGATGCCTGTGAGATCTCACAGCAGTGTTGACTCCAGTTTTCCCCAGATCCCACTGATGTCCACAACGGAGCTTGAGGACCCTTCCTGTCTGTCCTGTCTACGCTCTGAGACCCAGCAAACAGCAAAACCAGTGATCAAACCCCCCATCACTGTATTCAGCTTTATGTTTCCATCACCTCTCAGTGATCTGGAGCCAGAGCTGCAGCCAGTGATGATGAGGGCTGTGGGGTCACCAAGCAGAGGGACACGTGTCCTGTGCCACCGCTGCTGCACCCAGCAGAGAGAGGGGTTGTTGGTGGCAGTGATGGAGGGATGAATCCTGGGGACAGAGCAATCTGGCATGGCAGCACTGGCACAGATGTGTGTGCCAGTGTGTTTTTTCCAAGCAGATAATTGCAGAGAAACTCTTTGTTATCACAAACAGGAGCTCTGGGGCTTGGGAAATGCTCCTCTCTTGGCACCAGCCGCCACACCGAGTCCTTCAGGGAGCTGCCATGTGACGTGATTAGCAGGTATGAAATAAGCACTTTGCAAATAGATCAGAAGATTTTTTGATTAAAAGAAAACTTTTGTAATTTAGAAAATTAATATCAACATCAAATCACCTGAAAGCTCTGGAAAAACCACAGACCAAATGAAGCTGTTCTGGATGCACCTGCATTTTTAGATTGGCTCCGGGAAAATTAGTCTTTCAATTCTGCAAATGAAGAAGTTGAGCACCAACCTGGGGACCGTGAAAACTTATTTGCCAAGCGTCACACAAACGAGAACTAAAACATGGGATGCCAAGACTAATCTATCTCCTTTTGGCTTTGTTTGGAAACAAACAGCAGCTTTCTCAGCTGGGAGGAGGAGAGATTTGTTCTGCTACAGGCACTGGAGTGTGTTTGGGTGTGAGGGTGTGAGGAGAGGCTGGAGGCACTTGGTTTGCTCAGCCTGGAGAAGAGGAGACTGAGAGGAGATCTCCTGGGGGAATAGAACTTCCTCACCAGGGGAAGAGGAGGGGCAGGTGCTGATCTCTTCTCTCTGGCCACCAACGAATGCCAGGAGCAGAGGACATGGCAGGAAGATGTGGCAGGGGAGGGTGAGGTTGGCCATGAGGAAAAGGTTCTTGAGGCACCCAGAGGGTGGTGGAGCACTGGAACAGGCTCCCCAGGGAGGTGCTCATGGCACCAAGCCTGACAGGATTCCAGCAGCATTTGGCCAAGGCCCTCAGGGACATGGTGTGAATGTTGGGATTGTCCTGTGCAGGGACAGGAGTTGGACTCCATCATCCTGGTGGGTCCCTCCCAGCTCACCACATTCTGTGATTCTATGGGTAAAACCAAGCTCCTGGTGCACTCTGTGGTGATGGTGTTGTTCCCCAGTTGAAAAGGTGAGGGTGCTCCTGGGCTCAGGCTGAAGAAGGGAGATGTTTCCTTCTCAGACAGCTGAGATCAGAGGTGTCAGTAAGGTGACAGGGCTGGCAGCAAAACCACACGAGGACCCAAAGGCTGATGGGTGTGGGATGTGGAACTTCAGGGGGCTTTGCATCCCCAAAGCAAACCTGGTGGGAAGGGGATGGTGACTGAGGCAGGGGAGCAAGGTCTGGGGGGGAGAGGGTGGGTGCTGGCAGCTCTGCCATGGGGTGATGCCAGCCTCAGTGCACGGTGGTCATCTCCAATGGAAATGGTCCTGGAGTCCCCTCAGCCCGGATTTTCCCATGTCATGGTCCTCCTTCTGCCCCAGGGACTCATTTGGCTGGGGACCATGGTGATGAGGAAGCCCAAGCTCAGCTCCAAGGGAGGTGCCTCTTCTTCAGGCCATTGCTGCTTACTCTGACATCATCAGTGATGTCATAGCACAGAGACAGCTGCATGGCAATTCCATGTGGGCAGGAGGCCACAACGGGACAAGGAACATGAGGACATTGCTGGGTGGTGAGTGAGCGGAGCAGCTGTGAAACCTCTGGCTGGTATGTGTGTTTGGTTTCCACTGCCAGGTGAGGGTGTCCTTGTCCCTGTGTCACTGCTCCCTCCCAGCAACTGTCACCACGGCAGGGGCAACAGCCACCCCCCTGTTTCTGCTGGCAGCCGTTGACCCCTGTTGCTTCCCACCTTCTTCCATCACCTCTGCTTTTCAACAGACCAACGCTCAGTCCTGGTCTCAGAGCCACCATGTCCAAAAGCAAAGGGACAGCAGACACTAGTCAACCTGCTGTCGCCGTGGATTCCTCAAATATCATCAATGTGACTGTGAAGACTCTCAAGCATAAGGAGCAGTTTGAGGTTGCTCAGGGTAGCACCATCCAGGAGTTTAAGGAAGAAGTTGCCAAGCGTTTCAAAACATCCCCTGATCTGCTGGTCCTGATATTTGCTGGGAAAGTCCTCAAGGATCAAGAGACTTTGAGCCAGCATGGAGTTCACAGTGGGGTCAGCATCCATGTGGTCATCAGGTCCCAAAAGAGACCACAAGATGGCCTGGTGAACCAAGGAAGAGCGACCACCCCGATGCAATTTCCCAGCCACAGTAATTCCAACTTCTTCTACTTGGGAAGTATAGTTGACCTGCCAAACCCATGCTTGATCCATCATAACTTCTCTGAGCTGTTGATCTCCAGCCAGGAAATAGTGGCCCAGACCATGGAGAACCTCTTATCCAGGATCCTCAGTTCAGGCTTGGATCTGAACACCATCAACAACAACACATTTTTGCTAGGGTTCCTCCTCGGGGTGACCGGTGTACATCTCCTAGACCTGAACTCAACAGACATGTTGGACCTGGTGAATAGCATTCAAATAGAAGAAGTGTCCGTGCACAGCTTGATAAGAGAGATGATGCAGAGCACCTTGAGGCAGAACGTCCTTGACAATGCCAGTCTTGTCGGGGATCTCATCATGTCCAACCCTCAGATGCAGCAGCTGGCTGAAGAAAATCCTGAGATCGGTCAGATTCTCACCGACCCACATACTGTCAGAGAGATATTAGAGGCCTTCAGCAGCCCTGCCATAATGCAGGAGATGATAAGGAACCGTGACGTGGCCATGAACAACCTCGAAAGCATCCCTGGTGGGTACAGAGCTCTGGAGCAGCTCTACAGGGAAATTGAGGAGCCCATCTTGGATGCTGTGCAGGCTCATCTGGGCAACAACCCGTTTGCTTGCTCGGGCAGTAGCTCACCCCTGAGTGGAGCCAGGCTACCACCCCATACCGAAAACCGGAGGCCATTGCCCAACCCTTGGGCTCCACAGTCCACCAGAGTTCATGATAATGCAGATGACTATGACTGCCAATTTTCCAGCAGCAGTGCAAGTGACAGTTTTGCCTCGCTGAATTTGGGTCCTACAACAGGTGCCGTGGTACCCAACTCAGGAGAGGTTCAGAGGATGGTTGAGCAGCTGACAGGAAACCCAGAACTCATGCAGAACCTGGAGAGCGCGTTAACAAACCCCAACAGCCCAGCACAAATGCTGCTGCATCACACTCACCTATCAAGCGATGGAAGTTCTCCACCTGAAGATCAATGGGGACAGCAGCTGCCACTGGAGATGGAGAACTCAGAGATTTCATCCTTGCTGAGGAACCCCAGAGCACTGCAGGCGTTGCTACAGATCCATCTGGGATTACAGACCCTCTCAGTAGAGGTACCAGAGTTCATACTCAGTCTGGAGGACTCGCGTATGGAGCTGGGTCTGGAGAGCATGGACGACTCGGAACAAAGCAGTGAGGCTGAGGACAGTGTCCCTTTGGTGTCAGAGGAGGATGAAGCAGAAGGTCAGACGGAGGTGGATGAGGAGGCACCACAGATCAGATTTAAGAGACAAATGGAGGAGCTCACTGCCATGGGCTTCCAGGACCAAAGTGCCAACCTGCGGGCGCTGGTGGCTGCGGGAGGAGACGTCCGTGCAGCAGCCGAGACCCTGGCAAAAGCACCAGCACCAACGGAGATGCCCTAACTGGTTTGTCCACAGGAACCAGTTGCAGTGCCTCGGGTGCTGGTGGTTGTATTGCAGTCTCGTCACACACTAAAGGCAGCCGGGTGCATGTGAAGGAGTTGTGTGCCTTGGCCTTCTTCCCTCCAGGAGAAATCATCTCCTCTTGGCTGCAAGGATTTCTTGCATCCAGGGCAATAGATGTGAGGACCTTCTGTGAGATGTGACAGTAGATGTGAGTGAGGATCGTGTGAAACCCTGAGGTCAGGCCCTACCTGAGTGTGGTGCTGCCCCTTCACAGACAGAGTCTGTGATCCAGGTGTGTGTGGGGGGGAAAAACACGCCAAGAAAAGACACCAGAGAGGGAAAATACAGGTGAGGAACTGAGATCCAGAGATGCTGGAGACCAGATGATAAACGAGCTTGACTCCCATTTGGACTCCAAAACAAACAGTGGCACAGCAGCGTTTTGGTTGCTTGGTTTGTGGGGTTTTTTTGTTTGTTTGTTTTGGGGGTTTGGGGTTTTTTTTGTTTGTTTTTTGTTTGGTTGTTGTTGTTTTTGTTTTTTTTTAAATCTGGCCATAAAGAAGAGCAGCAGGGAGTGTCTGAACCATCGAATTCCTGTCCCTTCGGGCATCAGCCTTTCCTCAACTGAGCAAACGCTCTTTTAAAAGTCAAGCTATCATTTCTGCCACTGCTTCTCCTACAGGAGTGGAGTCCATCAGGGCTGTGGTAACCATCACTGATGGCTGTAGGTCAGATTTTCATCCCGAATATGTTCACAATTGGTTTTTACTCACCTATTGTTGCACAGAAGTTTGTAGTTTCATGCATTAGTTCAGAGCTTTTCCCATTAGCAAATCCTAAACCCTTTGTGCTTTGCTCAGTGTCTCACATGGAATCAGGAATTCACAGAATCAGAGAATCACAGGATGGTTTGGGTGAGAAGGGACCTTAAAGCTCCTCCAGTCCCAACCCCCCTGCCAGCAGCAGGGACACCTTCCACTAGACCAGGTTGCTCAAAGCCTCATCCAACCTGGCCACAAACACTTCCAGGCATAAGGAACACTTCCAGGGATTAAGGCACCTTCTCCAGACCTTTCCTCAGGACCAGAGCTGAGTGTCCCTGCCAGTCCTGTCCCCTTTGCTTTGTTGTGTGTGGGTCTGAGGCTGTGAACGTGGTTGTGCCATAAGCAGCCATAAAGCTCCTCAAAGCCTTGTCTCTCCCCAGAATGACTTCCTGACTGTGTGCAGCTTCTTGGTGACATTGGGCAGCTGCTGGAGTCACCCCCCCTGGCAGTCTGTGTAGTGGGGAGTGTAAGGACCATCCATGCTTGTGGGACAGCACGAGCTCTGCCACTGCTTTTGCACCCTTCTCTCTTCTCCTTGTCCATGGATGATTCCAGACACACGTCTCCAGCCTGGGCAGGACGATGAATGTCATCAGCCCAGTGTCACCCCCATAGCACTAACCAGGTGTGTTTCCAGGTCCCCAAAGCAGCGCTGCCACCGCAGCATGGATCCATCCTGCAGCTCTCGGCCACCTGCACCGGCCCTGAGCTCTGACACAGCCAGGCATCACCTCGTTATGTGCAGCAATCCCAAATGGGGGATTAATAATAATTAATAGATTATAGCATCCCAAATACCCGCGACACCTGCAATCCTAACCAAGGCTTAGCAGGGTGGGACTCCTGCCTTGGGGGTGTTGTGTGTGTGTGAATGGAATGTGTGAACTGAACTGTGCCCACCACTGCTCTGGTGGAATTATTTTTATTTTATAGTTGAAATCTTCCTGTGTTTCTTCAGACGTGGGTGTGCTGCCGAGCCTGTGGCACCCACAGCTGCCTCTGCCTGGAGACTGGTTTGTGCTGCAATGAGTCAGCCTGCAGAAAATAGTTCCTGCAGACTCTAACCCCACGTCTGGTGAGATTCCTGAGGGGCTGAAGGGAGGGGTGGTCACCAGCTGTCCAGGGAACTGGGCACAGTGTCAGGTCATTGATCCAAGGATGGCTCCTCAGCCCCAAACTCTTCCCCCCATCCTCTAGAAGAGCACAGCCCACAGATTGCTCCTTCCACTGCTATGGGGAAACTCTTCAAATTCACAGAATCCCAGAACTGCCTGGACTGGAAAAGCCCTTTGAGCTCATTGAGTCCAACCATGAACCCAACACTGACCAGTCCCCGACTAACCCATGTCCCTCAGCACTGTGTCTACACGACTCTTCAATCCCTCCAGGGATGGGGACTCCACCACTGCCCTGGGCAACCCCTTCCAATGCCTCAGAACCCTTGCAGCAAAGAAATTCTTCCTCACATCCCATCTCAACTGCCCTGGCCACAACTTGAGGCCATTTCCTTTTCCTTAGCTCCATTCCCTTCTCTGGACATGCTCCAGCACCTCCATGTCCTTCTTGGAATGAGGGACCCAAAACTGAAGAGAACTGCCCTGCTCCTACTGGCCACACTGGTGCTGATCCAGGCCAGGATGCCCTTGGCCTTCTTGGCCACCTGGACACTCTGCTGGCTCATGTTCAGCTGCTGGGGCCCAACACCCCCA